AATTAACTCACAAATTTTTTATTGTATGTGGTTAAACACTTAAATCTACTCTCTGAGCAATTTTCAAGAACAGATATTAATATTAATTATAGCCACTATGTTATATCATGAATCTCTTAAAATTTTTGTTCCTAGTTGAAATTTTGTGTATTTAACCAACAGCTCCCTAAATTCCAACCCACTCCAGCCCATTGTAACCACTATACAACTCTTTATTTCTATGACTTTTACTATTTTATGTCTCAGATATAAGTGAGATCTTATGGCAAATTTTATTTCTGTACATGTCTTATTTCACTATACGTTCAAGATCTATTGATGGACACAGTTTGATGCCATACTTTGGCTACTATGAATGGTGCTGCAATAAACATGGGACTGCAGTTATCTCTTTGATTAAAAATTATGGTACATATAAACAATGGAATCTTATTTAGCAATAAAAATAGAAGGAAATCCTGTCTTTTGTGAAAACATGGATGAACCTAGAGGTCATTATTTAAAGTTAAATAAATGAGTCGAGGGAAAAAAGTACTGCATGACCTCATTCATAAGTGGAATCTGGTAGAGAGCTCCTGGTAGTTTCCAGGGGCTGGGGAGAGGTTGGTCAAGGATAGAAAATCACATTTTTATAGGAGGAATAAATTCAGGAGGTCTATTGTACAGTATGGTAACTGTAGTTCATTAGGATACACTGTATTCTTGAAAAATGCTAAAAAGAGTAGACATGTGGTATCACCACAAAAATAAATATATAAGATAAAATACACATTAGCTAGATTTAACATTATACAGTGTATACGTATACTTCAAAACAGTGATGTATGTAATAAATACAATTTTATCTGCCAGGAAAAGTAAATAAATACATCAAAATTAAATTCAAAGTATAAATTTTAATAAAGTCTATGAGAAAAAAAGGTGATTTTAAAAGTGACCATGTGTGTTCTGGGGGAGACATGTATAGGCAAAGGAAGAGAAATATCAATTTCACCTCAAATTTTGTGGGAAATATAAATGTGTAGCAGTTCAATTTTTAAGCCACTCACTGCAATCAATAAATCAATACAGGTTTTTCATATGATTATCACTTAGATTTTTTGACAAAGATTTTGACAAACATGTTTCAGGTGTTTCTGTTAAAATATCCAATAATTTTAGATATATCTTATACAACCACGAGGGAGTCTGTGTGTGTGTGCATGCATGTACTGCAGGCATGTGCATTTGTTTACTATACCTCAGCTGGCTTACAAACATTCAGTGAGCTTCAGGCTAGAGAGGAACTTGAACTCAAAGAGGTATATTCATTCTGATAAATTGTAAGAGATAATACATCAGTATTTCTAGCTCATGAAAGAAAACTACAGAACCCTAAAGAAAGAAGTCAAAGAAAACCCTAGAAGATGGAAAGATCTACCTTGCTCTTGGATAGGCAGAATTAATATTATCAAAATGACCATACTACCAAAAGCACTGTACAGATTTAATGCAATTCCCTTCAAAAATCCCAATGGCATTCCTCATAGAAATAGAAAAAGCAATTATGAATTCATGAGGAAAATAGCTAAAGCAATACCCAGAATAGCTAAAGCAATCCTTAGCAGGATGAGTGGACCAGGTGGCATTGCTATACTAGACCTTAAAGTGTACTACAGAGCAATAGTAACAAAAACACCATGGTATTGACACCAAAACAGACTGGTAGACCAATGTGGTACAGAATAGAGGACACAGAGACTAATCCACAAAATTACAATTATCTTAAGGTGCCAAAAACATACACTGGAGAAAAGATAGCATCTTCAACAAATGGTGCTGGGAAAACTGGAAATCCATATGCAACAAAATGAAATTAAACCTCTATCTATCACCTTGCACAAAACATAACTCAAAATGAACCAAGGACCTAGGAATTAAACCAGAGACTCTGCATCTAATAGAAGAAAAAGTAGGCCTTAATCTTCATCATGTGGGATTAGACCCCAACTTCCTTAATAAGACTCCTATAGTGCAAGAGTTAAAACCAAGAATCAATAAATGAAATGGACTCAAACTAAAAAGTTTCTACTCAGCAAAAGAAACAATCTGTGAGATGAACACAGAGCCCACATCTTGGGGGCAAATTTTTTTCCCCTCACACATCAGATACAGCACTAATCTCTAGGATATATAAAGAACTCAAAGAGCTAAGCACCAAAAAAAAAAAAAAATAACCTAATCAATAAATGGGTCAAGGACCTGAACAGACACTTCTCAGAAGAGGATATACAATCAATCAACAAATATATAAAAAGATTCCATCATCTCTAGCAAATACAGAAATGAAAATCAAAACTACTTTAAGATATCATCTTACTCCAGTCAGAATGGCAGCTTTTATGAAGACAAATAACAATAAGTGTTGGCAGGGATGTGGGGGAAAGGTACACTCATACATTGCTGGTGGGACTGCAAATTGGTACAGCCAATATGGAAAGCAATATGGAGATTCCTTGGAAATTTGGGAATGGAACCACCATTTGACCCAGCTATCCCTCTCCTTGGACTATATCCAAAGGACTTAAAAACCGCATACTATAGGGACATAGCCACATCAATGTTTATAGCAGCACAATTCACAATAGCTAAACTGTGGAGCCAACCTAGATGCCCTTCAATAGATGAATGAATTAAAAAAATGTGGCATATATACACAATGAAATATTACTCATCAAATACTTCTTTTAAATTAACTAGACTTCTAAAATTTTGGAATGTGGCAGACAATGAAATGCAATAATCATACACAATAAATCTTAATGACAGTGAATAATAACAATTAAAAGCTGAGAAATTACAAAAATGACTTTATCACATTTTTTCAATGTATTTGTTGTAAATTTTGAACTAGTTTTCTGCTTCCATATATTTGGTATCTCTAGCTTAGCTGTCAATAAGAGATCTGCACATTTTGTGTACAGCACTACACAGTCCAATCTAATATCTACTAGCCAATTATGGCTTTTGAGTATTTGAAAAGTAGCTCAATTTTTAAGTTCAATTAATTTAATTTTAATTAAAAAAACAAAATGTTTTTTCATTAAGTATAACATTATTGTTTTACTAGACTACATTTCAACTGCTATATCATGCATAGATGTATTGCAATAAAGATGCTGATAACATGCATTCTTAACTGTACTACATATTGATACAACATTAAATGTGCTTGCTTATTTAACTATTTTATGAAGACACCAAGAATCAGAGTCATATCTAAGTAAATAATATTGCTATGGTTATGCTTAGATATGAGGTATCCCCCAAAAGGTCTTTCATTAATGCAGATAGAGTCAGAGGTAAAGTGACTGCACTGAGTGAGTTTGTTTGACTGCCTTTTGATAACCACTGCTTTGTTTCACATTTCTGTATTTGCATTTGTTTTTCATTTAAAATAACAATTTAATAATAACTGTAGAAATCATCAGTATAGAAGATTTATTCCCTTAATGCTTTATTTACTCAACCTCCTGAATTAAAAAGCATATTTTATATCTTTCAAAAAATACCAAATTATCTCTATAGTAAAATAAATTCTTTTGGTTAGCAGGCCACTCTATATTATCTAATAATTTTTTCCACAAATTTATTTCAATGCTTACTCTTATGGTTTGGATGTGAGGTATTCCCCAGAGCTCCTGTGTTAATGTAGGAATATTCGGAGGTAAAATGATTAGAGTTTGAGAGCTGTGATCTAATCAGTCCATCCTCATTTGAATGGACTGACTAGTGGGACTGTAGGCAAGAGGGCCAGGGCTGGAGGAACTGGGTCACTGGTGTGGTGCCTAGGAAGATGATCCACTCTTTCCTTCTCTCCTTCCACCCAGGCCATGAGTTGACCAGATTTCCACAACTGGGTCCTTTCCTCATGATATCTGCTTCACTTGAACCTTTAGCAATGGAGTCAGTTACCTATGGACTGAAACCTTTGAAACTCTTACCCACAAATAAACTTTCCCTTCTCTAAGTTGTTTTTGTTGGGTATTTTGGTCATAGCTATATAAAAGCTAATTAAAACACTAATGAATTAAAATATTTTTTAAAAAATTAGTAAAAGATTCTTCTAGTCTTTTAAGCAAATCAACTATTTCCAAAGAAAATTTTATGTCCAAAATGATGTGCTGTGAATATAAAATACCAACAAAACTAAAGATTTAATAAAAAAGAATGTACCATATGTCAGTAATATTTTAATTAATTGTGATTAAATGTTAATTTCCTGACATACTGGTTAAATACAATTAAAATAAATTATGCTTGTTTCTTTTACTATCTTACATTGCCACTGGAGAATTTAAAATTTTATAGATGAATGTGTCATATTATTATTGTTATTTATTTTTTGGTTAGTGCTGTGCTAAGAGGTATAGGACCAGGCGTCAATAAATTAGAAGATAAAGAATGACAAGGACCTTTATAGCAATGATCACTGAAGACCTTTCACAGCAAACCAAGGCAATCATGAGAGCAACTTCATTGCAGACAATGGGTTTTAAGTTAAAGAACTATATAGACCTGGAAAGAACCCATAGCCTGATATATTAAGGAATTCATTTCAGTTCACACAGTGGAGTCTGTACCATGATTTACTAGCTTCTAATTCATCACTCTTTCTAGAACACTACTTGTGTGAAGGAAAATTTAAACCTGAGAATCGCATCCACCCCTCTCTCTTAATATAATTGAAGATTCTATTGCCATATATTACTTAAACACTTACTTTGAAAAAGAGTGCTGACTTTTTTGTTACACTGATAAACCAGAAAAAATAAATGTGTGACCAGCAAATAGGAAAGTCCATATCAGTTACAGAATATTTAAAGACTATTGTTGTATTTTCTATAACAAGGGAGGACATAATCCAATGCAACAAGGTTACCTTCTTGTTATATAAATAATATGATGTTTTAATTTGAATGTTTTCAACAAAAGTGCACTGGGTATTATGAAATCATTACCTTTCCCATTAAGATTTTTTACTTTCTTCACCTCAAGCTGTTTTATTAACTACAGATTCCTTCTTGGGTTTTCCATCCACAGTCAGTACTTCCTGAACTAAGAAAAGATTGAATAAGTGTATAATAGCAGACATTCTTAATAATTATTTCACCAGCATTCATATCATAGCAATGAATGTAGCCCCCAGTTATGTCAGAGTCAATTTGTAAAACATTTGTTAAAAGTTTGAGATGTTTTAATGGGGATAATTTTCATTATGAAAAATTGTGCTGTATATGCATAAGAAGAATTATAATGAATTCTGCTGTCATTTTTTTAAAATCAATTTAAAAAGAGAAAAAAAATAAAACTACATTGAGATTTCACCTCATTCCAGTCAGAATGGCAATTATAAATAATACAAGTTACAATAAATATTGGTGAAGATATGGGGGAAAAGGTACACTCATACATTGCTAGTGGGACTGCAAATTGGTGCAACCACTTTGAAAAGCAGTATGAAAATTTCTCTCAGAAAACTTAGAACAGAGCCTCCATTTAACCTAGTTATCTCATTCATCAGTGTATACCCAAAGGACTTAAAATCAGCATACTATAGGGACACTGCCATATCAATATTCATGGCAGCTCAATTCACAGTAGCTAAGCTGTAGAACCAGCCTCGGTGCCCTTCAAAAGATGAAATAATAAAGAAAATGTGGTATATACATACACACCCAATGGAATATTATTCAGCCATAAAGAGAAATGAAGTTATGACATTTGTGAGTGAATGGATAGAACTGGAGACTAGCATGCTAAGTGGAAGCCAATCCCGAAAAAAACAAAGTCCAAATGTTCTTTCTGATGTGTGGATGCTAACTCACAATAAGGAGTACTTTGGATTAGACAAAGGAGAATGAAGTAAAGGGAAGGGGAATGGGAATATGAAAGATAGTGCAATAAACTGGACATTATTTTCCTGTATTCATATGTGAATACACAACCAATGTAATTCCACATTATGTACAACCAGAAAAATGGGAAGTTGTACTCCATGTATGTTTAATATGTCAAAATACACCCAACCGTCATATATAACTAAAATGAACAACAAGAAGTCTAAGTTGCACCTTTCTGCAAAAACTCTATGGAGGACAGGGATTATTGAGAGAGGGCACCAATACCTCTATCAATATCTTAAACTCTGTTAGATATATTTCTTCTAGATCTTATGGCATTGACTCATGGAAAAGAAAAGTAATCCACCTAAAGACATACCCACATTCAGCAGAGAAAAGCAGCAAGTCAAGAGTAATATATGTTCGTTCACCCAGATGAGAATTCATTCCTCATCAAGGAATGAATCCTGGATGGCATATGGGTGAAGTGAGTTAACAGAGTAGCAGGCCTCTGCTCTGGGGTTACAGTGGTAAAGGTAATTTATATCTGGGTGTGGTGGCACATTCCTGTAATCCCAGCACTAAGCAACTTAGTGAGACCCTGTATCTAAATAAAATACAAACTAGGACTGGGGATTTTGCTCCATGGTTGAGTACCCCTGAGTTCAATACCTTGTAACCCTGCCAAAAAAAAAAATAATAATTTATGGTAGAAAATGTGGTTTAAAGAGCTTCAGCTGAAGATTAGATGGAAAATCCACCAAATGGTATTATGGAGTCAAAGGTAAATAACTGAACATGCTAAGAGAATGGGCTACAAAGTAATTGTGCACACCAACAATGGATGCATACAGGATCCTCAGCTACTAAGAAGCAACACCTCTAGTGATGCCAGCTAATACTCGTAAGTGAAAATGATGGTTTACACATGGAAAACTTGGTTATATCTATCATTATTAAAACTCACAGTCTAACACATATTCAGAAGTTTTCTTGAAAAAGGAATGAGGAGGACATATAAACCATAAAACTATACATGGCTAAATCTCAATACAAATAAAAAGACTCTTATCCTAGAAAAGAGTGGTAAGTGTTAAATTTATGCTATCGTTAGCAGGAATATATAAGCCTAATAAAAAATTTACACGGAATTATCTATCTATTGTTTTTTTAGATTTATATATACCCAGTACTATAATTGGACCTACTATATATTTATACATTTCAGAAAACACAGACACATATGAATGTGTGTGTGTATATGTATATATATACATATATATATATATAATGTGTGTGCATACATATATATATACACATATACATATATGCACACACACATATATATGATAATTAGATATTGTTAAGATCACTTTATCTCATTCATAAAAGATAGTAATTGGTATATTTTACTATGGTGATATAAATTGCAATCATTTTACTAAACTATTTCTGGATTCTCACAAAATGTGTGAGACTGCAACAAGTTAATAAAAAATTGTTTTTAAATTTTTAGGAATATCAATAAAAAGCATTGGGCTGGGGATGTATCTCAGTGGTAGAATGCTTGCCTAGCATGCAAGAGGCTCTGGGTTTAATCCCCCGCACTCCAAAATAAGATAGATAGATAGATAGATAAAACAATAAATGAATACCATATATATTTGTATATATATAATATTTACTTTAAAAGAACACAGTAAACCTAATAATCATTAAATATTTGTTGTTTTCTTAAAACAAGAAAGTCACCCTTAAATGAATGCTATAGAGATTGAATTAATTCCTTAGAAAACAACACAAAGTTTAAACAAAAATCTTTATCAAACCTTTATAATGCTGAATTTTATGACTATTTTAAGTACATTCATTTTATCTTTGCACTCCCTGATATAGTTTACACCAGAATCTATCATCATCCAATTTTAGGTAACCCTCTTTATTAGTATCTGATTTAAGACAACACTTTTTTCACAAGTAATGTCCACCATTCTCAAAGTGAATATATATTGTTAATTCATACTATTATGAAAGAGGATTCTAAAACAACTAGGCAACATAAAGAACAATCAATAGTATTAATAAAATTATATTTAATTTATGGAACTTCAGTTTATATTTTAAAATTATATTTCTACTTTAAACATAACCACATGACTTAAATTTTAATTAATTGTTAAAATGTTTAGCAAGATGATATAGTATATGGGAAATTGTTATATTTGTTTAGAGTTGAGCAAAAATAAATGCTAATAATGTTTCTGATACACAAAACTTTTCTCAGCTCATTAATATTCATTTCATAAAGGAAATTCTACTTAAGAGAAATTTGAAGGAAAATAACTAGCCAGTTTACCATTATACATATCCACAATTTATGAAACAAAATTAAGGGTGGGAGATATGTAGCAAGATTTTAGTGATTAGAATTCTTACAAAAGTTAGTATTTAATTAAGTATGTAGTTGAAATTTTCAGTTTCAATATTGCTATATAACTAAAATTACCTCTTTACATTTAGAAAATTTCCAGGATTACTGGCTTTATTTTAAATTAAATCAATGGATGTCATAAAACAGAAATAAAACAATGCATACATATATAAATATAAGTGTGTATATATATACACATACATATTTGTTAAACAAATTTAACTCTAATTCATTATTTATTGATATGATATAAGGCATTATGTTTTATATTGTTATGACTGTGAAATGTTCATATCACAGAAGAATGGTGTCAGAGAGTTTTTAATAGTTACTTTAGAAAGGCAGAGGATTATATAGATAGACCATTTTGACTATTAAGATATTCTGATTATCTCTGCTGTTTTTGTAGGCACAGTACTAATTAAAAAATGAATCTTATATACCAGGCAAGCCCAATGAGAGAAGTAATATTTTTTTACTCTACATAAAATTTTAAAAATGAATTTCCCAGTGAGAGTAATTATTTAGAATGGAAGGGAACTTAAAGAAATAAAGGTGGTAATAATATCAAAATAAAAACAAAGAAAACATGGTACAGATTAGAAATTATTCTCAAACTCTATATACCAATGAAACTTAGATTCCTATTCTCTCAAAACTCAGGAAGTACAAATAAATACATTATTCCATAAGATTAAAAGAATGAAGATGGCCCATATATGAAAAAATGATATTTTGAGAAAAGAATTCAAATATATTCTTTATGAATCTTCCCATACCATATAATTATTTAAAGATAAATTAATATTCATCAATTACTTATTGAATTATACTAACAAAGCTCCATCTACTCTATTTAACAGGAAAGGAAGTTATTCATCCATGTCCAACATTCCCATGTCAGTATAGTACAAGTAAAGTGTCCAGAGACCAAAAGGTCTTCTTTTTTCATGTCACACTTCCTCTAAAGAATCCTGGAATCATAAATCTGACTCGTTGAGAGTTATCAGATTAGAGGAGGGGGTTCATAATTAGCATGGTGGGATATATTACTTCCTATATTTTTTAGTAATGAATATGTGAAGACATAAGAAAAACTTACATTTAAACAAAGTTAGAAAAAATATAGCTAAACATGTCAGGAGACAGCAAAGATTAAAATATTATCACCTTTATAGAAATTTGCTTTGATGCTATGCTGTTTTATTAAGCTTGAACTAGATTTATGATATCAAAATATGTTATAGAAAGGAAACTGTTTCTCAGTTTTATTCACAAAATATTATGTTTTAAACTTGATTCCAAGCAAAAGTGCTTTTCCTTTGAGAAACATGGGATTCCTCATTGTGTTAGTGAGAAAATCTAACATTTTTCCTGGATTCAAATATTTTGTTTGGCTCCTAGATTCAAATATTTTGTTTGATCACAATATATAAAGTACTTGTTCCTCATGGCTAGCATGTATAGTTTCTCACCCATCCCATATGGTTGATGATCTCTTGCAACTGAAGCATCTTTATTTACTGCATGTCTTATTTTTACTGTAAGAAGTCTTAATACCTTCGGAATTGAGCAATAATTTGTCTGGCTATTGTGATTATTTTTATGCATGAAAAATCCAAGACTCAGAGAACTCAAATAGCAAATAGTAATGTCATGATTCTACTCTAATCTTCTAACCACACAAATCCTATTCTTTCCCTAAGATCATATGCTGCATCCCCAATAATTTTATTGTCTTTGTTTAGTAACTGTATACACACATTTATGTCAAAAACCTCCCAAATATAAAAAAAATGGGGTAACTATTCCCAAGTTATTTGTTTTTCAACTAAAAGACAGACATCTAAAATGTAAAAGCCTGCCTCTATATACATGAGGTTTACAGGACGTGATTTTGAATATGGTTTAAAAATTCAGTTCATTAAATGTGTTTTCTAACAAACATCAAAAGAAATGCCCAATTGATTCCTAAATGAAATAATCTATTTGAGAATCTACAAAATATTTTCTTACATAAATTTAAGATATTGTGTATTACTATTAATATATCTTGGTTAAGAACCTAGAAAATATTTACCTATACAAGAAGCATTATGCACAACAATATTATGGAAGAAAAGAGATAAATAAAAATGTGATAAAACCTATAGAACCTATTAGAAGGATTAATCTAGAATACCAAGAAACTCACATATTTAAATATTTGTAATTGATGAAATGTTACAGTTCCTAAACTTACAAGCCCAAGAAAATTATATGAATCCTATAGCTTCAGCTTCCACAATTGCACATTAAAAAAGCAAAGTGTGTATTATTCAAAAATTAAAATTAAAACATTGTAATAATACTTGATACTTAAATAATGAAGCCTTATGTATTAGAAAAGAATTCTTTTCTATAAACATCTCCAAAAGGCAATGTTTTATGTACTGAACAATTGAGTGTCATGTAAAAATCCCTTTTCAATACAGAAAATAGGAAAATATGATTGTATATGCATGGGAAACGAAAAAAGCTAGATTTTAGGATTATACAAAGATCAAGTGACAACAATATTAATCCTTTTAAAAATATGTAATAATAATTCCAAACACCACAGTTTCAGACAAGTTTTAATATTTATGTGAAAAGTAGAACAATTCAGATTCTCGTTAGAAAAAAATATTGGTGTAATTTGAATATGGCAACAGTATAAAAAAACAATGACACATATAGTACAATAACATGGAAATGATTTCCTTTGGAAAGGAACTGCAAACCAAAGAGGAAAATTTAAAATCAAAAAGGAGATGATAAAAAAAAGTTTTCAAACAACATATTTTCAGTATAAATAAACTAAGGAGAAAAAAGAGATGCTTTTATTTATGTTCTATTGGAGTAGACATACTCAATGTAAAACCTCAGTGAGGAAAACTTTTATATGTCAAAAAACATTGTACTTAAATCACAACTTGTCTTAGTATTTTTGAATGGGAATAGAACTATACTTATTGGCATTGTAGTCTCATTTTCTACTTAAGCATATTTAAAAGGACAGTATTTAAGCCAATCAAGAACCTAGTTTATAACACAACTTAAAGGTGGTTCTGTTTGAAAAAGGACATTGGTATATAGCTATATGCCTTTTCATCAATTATGGAACAAACTATAAAAAATAGCTAATCGCATTCATTGAACCCTTTAGTAGTTTGCAGTTAATTTTCACGGTATTTAGTAAAGGACACAGATGAAATAAAATGTTATAAAGAAAATAATCAGTGTTAGGAAATCAGGAGCTCCATTAAAACATTAAATGAATTCAAAATTATAATTAAATCAATGATAATTACTGATAGTAACTCAGTATTTGAGTTATTAAGAAGCCGAGCTGTGTACACTTGACTTTGACTTTTATATAATATCTTCCACAAAATGTTCCATTTACATTGATCTTAATTAAGATACCACTGAAACGAAATAGTGCTATGGAACAATGTAAAAAGCAAGATTACCCTTTCATTCTAGGGTACCTATTTTTTTGCATAACAGAATTATGAGTTTTGCAGACATTTAAATCAGTTTTATCAGTGTTTTTTAAAACAATTTTTTAAATTTGATTCTGATTTCAAAAATTACTTCTCCAAGAATTTGTGCTGTCTAGGTAAAATATTATTTGGATATAATACAACTAGAAAAATTAAACCTGATCAGGAAAGTTTTAAAAGGATACAATGCAAAGGCACACTTTTAGGTAATAAAACTTTCCCTACATCTTATAAAATCATAGTTTCCATTTTCTTAGCCCATTTTATTTCCTCTGTGTTCTGTGGATAAAGTTTACACTAAAACCTACCTTATTTTAAGCCTCTTTTTCTGCTGAAAATAGGAGTAAACCATACCCCATAAAACACTTTCTTTCTATTGTTTTTTTTTTTTGTTGTTGTTGTTGTTGTTGTTGTAAATTCATTGATTATGTGATTTTCAGTGCTAAAACCAAACAGACCATGCTGGAAAATAAAACTGAGTTTTGAAAATTCTATAAATGTCAACTTAAAACCAATGAGTGGAATATTAAAAATAATAATTAAATACACAAATCTAGCGGCAGTTTTGTGCTGTTGTTATTTATCTGAAAATAAGTTC